CTCCCCTGATGCGCGACGCCGCAAAGTCCGAGATGGATGCGGGCGGCGCGGCGGCGCCGCGGAGTGTCATCAACATCAGCAGCACCACAGGGACCCATGGAAACGCGGGTGCGAGCATGAGTGGGATGGGCGAGTGGCAGTGCTGGCCTGAAATCGTCTGCTGCTCCCGCTGAGGAATGTCTGATTGGAGACGCTCCGTGCCGTTGGGGTGGCCGCACGCTGCTTCTATCTGATACCGGCCGGGCAGTGGCGTGCCGGCAAAGGCGCCCTGCTTTGTTGGCCGTCCGCCCCGCCGCGGCGTGCGCCCGCCGTGCCGCTCGCACCGCGCCTGATTTCGGCCCCGTCTGTGCACGCGCCCCACCCTAATGCTGCCTGCGTAGGCCAGGCCAACTATGCGGCGGCCAAGGCGGCGGTGGTCGGGCTCACCAAGACAGTGGCCAAGGTAAGGCAGCGCGGCACTGCTCTGAGCCGGGGCGCACACTGCGCCGCCTCTGTATCAGCCCCACGCCGGCGCTGCCGCCCAGCACCTAGATGCTGGGCGCTCCCCGGCGCCTGGCTGCCTGGCGCTGCCCGGCGCCTGCCACGCCGCGGCGTGCGGCTGGGCGGCCCCCGCTCCTGGTCGTGCAAAGCAGGGGAGAGGTCACTATGACAGGCAGTGCCAACGTCAATGTGCCGTGTGCGCCGGAAGCATGCGCCCGCCCTTGCGACCCATCGCCTATCTCCACTGCCCACTGCGCAGGAGTGGGGGCAGTTCAACATCCGGGCCAACGCCATCGCTTTTGGCCTGATCGACACCCGCCTCACCCGCCCCAAGGTTTGCGGCCGCGCGGTTGCCATCGGGGCCCCACCCGCGGCGGCGCCGCTGTCCGCCTGTGCATGGGCGTCGCTCCCTGCTCTTACATGTAGCGGCGCTTGCACACCAACCAAGACGCAAACCGTTGTCTTGAATTCCAGCCTGTCGATGCGCCAAATGATCAATTAAGCAATCGCCCGCAGCAATCAGTCAAGTCAATCGACTTGAACGCAAACACTCACCCATCTTCGCAAACGGACAGGAGGGCGGCGAGTCCATCACGGTCGGCGGCCAGGCCGTCAAGCTGGGCATCCCCGGCGCCGACAGCATGCGCCAGCTGGCGGAGATGGCGGCGCCGCTGCGCCGCATCGGCAGCGCACGCGACGCAGCGGGGGCGGTGCTGTTTTTCGCGAGCGAGTGGAGCTCGTTCGTCACCGGGCAGGTGTTGGAGGTCAACGGGGGCACCTACATGTGAGGGTGACCGACGGGTGACGGGTGACGCGGTGACACGAACAACACACGGGCGGGCGGCGGCCACATGCAGCCCCAGGGACGCTGCCGCTCCGCATGTGACATCGCTATGCGCGGAGGCTGTGGGTCGGGGTCGCAGGGCTGGAGATGCGCCGTGTGTCAGCGGCACGCCAGCAGGGCACACGTTTTGGTTTCGAGTTGCCAGCGCAGTTCCAGGCTTGCACTGCTTCTGTTGCGCATGCGGGCTAGTGTTGATGGGATTTGGGGCAGCCGCAGCTCTCAAACGCGAGGCTGATGATGTCACCATAAAGCGTCGAGCTGACTTGGAGCGGTGACTTGCCATGTAGGGCCTAGAGGTTTGTCGCAGGGCCATCATGTGGTCATCTGTCCAGTGCCCCAGGGCCCCACACTGCCGCTTTGCTGAGCGCCATGCAGACAAATCTTTCCCTTTCTCGTCTTACAACTTGCTGCATGGGTTCCATCGGTGGTCGATCGACCAATCCTGTCGTTGGTGTTGGTGAAGGGCACCCAAAGAGGTTGCAACGTCGCCGGCGCCCGCCCCAACAGGCTCCCGCGAATGCGTACATACCAAGGAGGCATGCCGGGCTGGCAAGCACGACATGTCAACCTGCCGAGGCCACAATAAATAGTGCAATTTCTCCTGTGAACCCAACAAAGGCATCATGAAGATATCAGCTTGGCGCTCGTACCCCTGGGCCAAGGCAGTGCCCAAGCTTGCAGATGCACGCAGTGTGTGCATCTCGCAGAATCGTGTGTGTGAGAGTACCCCGCACAGGACGTTCGTGACGCACAGGCTGAAGTGGATATGGAATTTTCAAATTCAAGTCAAGCGCGTGTTGGGGCTGCTGTTTGGCTGGCACTGCAATGGTGCGGACGGGGGTGTGGGGGGGCGGGGGTGGGCTTGGGCGAGCAAGGGGGTTGCGACTTGAACGTCCCAGGACCCCGCATCAACCCTGCTCCAGGAGGGTCTGCGGTGCTCAGTGTTGTGATTAGTTGTACAGGCAGATCAAAATCCATCATGACTGCGCCAATGGCTTTGCTGTAGCACACTTGTCTGCCACTTGAGTTGTGAAGCGTGGTGGCTCGAGCCTGGCTGATGAGGCTGGATGAGGTGGCCGTTGAATTTGAGTTTATCTGCCATACGGTACCAGTACAGGCGGTGCGCCCATCAATCCCATTATTACAGCGCCCTGAAACGCCTCACTTTCATACCTTCTGACTGCGTCCAGGATGGCAACCAGTGCCACCTTGTGATCTGACCACAAATATCACCCAACATCAGTTATGGCATCCATATAGCCTTGGTTATATCAGACTTAACATGTCTGCGTGGCCGGCAGGCAGACCAGGCCGCCCATTGCGGCATGGCAGTCCCGGCCTCGCCGCACCCGCGACTTATGAAGCCATGCGGCCTGTATCAACGGCAGACCTATCTGGGAGACATATAACGCGCCTGCACGCGCTGCGATGGGGCACCATTGCACGCGCCGAGGACGTCGTGCCGCCAGTGCCGGCGGCCGCTGCTTCAAACGACTGGGGCCATCTGCCGCTCTCGGTCGTGCTGCCGAACGGCCACGAGTTCGAGGTCACATGGCTGATCTCCCGTGACGCGGCGGCCGACGCGCCACCGCCCGGCCAAACGCAGCAGCTCAACCTCGCAGCGGGCGCTGCGGCCGCGGCGCCCGAGCGCGGCGTCGCAACCGCCGTGCTGCCGCTCCAGGCGTTTGTTGAGGAGCGCCGCCGGCAGCTGCAGTGGCACCGGCAGCTGCAGGAGCAGCTCGAGCGGCAGCTGCAGCTGAGGCACCCGCCGGCCCCGCCGGCGCCGGCCCCGCCCCTCGCCCCGGCGGCGCCGGAGCCGCTTGAACTGTCGGAGCCGCGCGGCCCGCGCGCCTTCGAGCCGGGCCGCCGGTCGCCGCGGCGGCGGCAACTGAACAGGGAGCGCTACTGGCAGGAGGAGTTCCGCGGCCTCCTGCCCGCGATCAGCCGGGCGCGCTCGGCGCAGGCCCTAGCGGAGCTCGTGCTGCCGCTCGCGCCGCGGCTGAAGGCCGCCGCAGTTTCTTACGCGCTGCAGCGCCTGCGCGCGATTACAGAAGCGCCCGTCCCCAGCCCCCAGCATGCCGGCGCCGGCGCCGGCCGCGGCGCCGCGGCTTCAAGGGAAGGCGGCGCCGCCGCCAGCTGCGGCGGCGGGGCGGAGGCGGAGGGCGGACGGGACGCGTACCGCGCAGCTGAGGCGCAGCTGCTGCAGTTGCAGATGGATTACGAGCGGCGGCGCCGGGAGGAGGACGAGGGCGCAGCCGGGGGGTTGTTATCCGAGGATGAGCAGCAGCAGGAGCAGCAGCAGGAGCAGCAGCAGGAGCAGCAGCAGGAACAGCAGCGGGAGCAGGGGCAGGAGCAACGGTTGGGGGCCGCGCAGCCCGTGGAGTCCATGCTGCTGCTGGCGCTCTTGCAGCGCAGCCGGCAGCTGCGGGGCGAGGTCCCCCCCGCCGCCCTGTCCGCAGCGGCGTCCGCGGCGCAGTCTTGCGGCTTCCGGCACCCGGGGGCGCTGCAGTGGCTCGGCGCGGAGGCGGAGAGGCAGCTGAATCAGGTGCGGGGCCGCCAGCCGGGTGGTGCTTCGCCGCCCACCCGACGCCGCTGGCGCGAGCCTGCAGGGTTGGGACCTCTGCCAAACTGACAAGGGCACGCGTGGCGCAGCTTCGATGCAGCCGCTCGGTCCTCATCTGCCTGCGTACCTGTCTAAGCTCACTTTGCCGCCCCACCGCACCGCCTTTTGCGCCGCCTTCCGTCTTCCCCTGCTCAGTGCTACGAAGCCGGAACGCCAGACGCCATCTTGTCAGCAAAGGCCGCCACGGCGGCGGAGGCCGCGGCGATCACCGTGTGCCTCTGCTGCGAGCGGCTCGGCAGCCCCCGCCCCTCCCTCCGCGC